ATTCAAATTTTTTAAATTCAAACTTTCAAATTTCAAAGTTGGTCAACAATCAAATTTATGTAACAGATAAGTGTAGATATTCAATATAGAGGCTTGAGAGACAATCATAAACTTATCTTTGTAATATTTCCCTGTTCATCTAGCCTGTTCCTGTATACCCATTTAACTTCAGTAACTTGCATTAATTTCTTATCCTTGATAATTACCTGCAACATCAACATACAAATCTAGGTACCCTTTAATTATTTTTGGGTCCTTAAAAAGGTTAGTAGAATCACAAGTCTCTGCCAAAAAACTAAGGATTAAAAGAATATAACCATGATATAATAATCGATTATCACAACACCTTCATAATCAACATAATTGATTATGATAACAAGAAAAAAATTCTGATTCTGATAATCAATTAGATGCTTAAACTATCATCTAGACATGTATAAATGTTTTTTTCCTTTAGGCACCCATTCATATTTGCCATTAGATATGCCAAAATGTTTTATGTAACATCTATTTGATGTATGAGCTAATTTCATGCAATAAAACACATGTTGGTTTTCTTTGAAAAGATATAGATGAGTTTCTTAAAGTTTTTGAAACTGGTTTCACATCTGTTTTCCTTGAATCTTTCACAAAAATAGTTTTATAAGGTTCTAGACTTTCTTTGGGTTTGTAACCAAGTCCAGCTTTGCTAGAATTTCCTCTTTGATAACCTAATATAGAATCAAGATTTTCAGAAGATTTTGAAAATTTGCTTATTATTTTCTCTAACTTGAAAATCTCATTTTCCAAAAGATTACAATTTTCAAAAGGTTTAGCAACTTCTTTATTTTTAGATAAAGTTTTAAATTTCTCAACATCTTTCTTTAAGCACTCATTTTCTTTTTCAAGAATACCAACAGTATTTTCTAATGCATTAAACTTTTGTCTAAGTGCATTGTATTTCTTAGATAACTTGGTAAAACCTTCATACATATCTTGATATTCTTTAAACAACTCATCATATTCATTTAAGGATTTTGTACTACTTACCTGTGATGAGGCTTCATCATCACTTTTTGTCATCAAGCAAAGATTTGCTTCTTCTTCTCCATCACTGCTTTCGAAAGAACTCTCTTGTGTTGTGGAAGAATCATTATCCTCCCAAGCAATATAAGCTTTGTGTTTACTTTTATAGGTATCATTCTTCTCTTTGACATCTTTCTTCTTCTCTTTCACATCTTTCTTCTCTTTCTTAAGTTTCAGACAGTCTGGTTTGATATGACCAGGTTTTCCACATTCATAGCAATGGAATTTATTTATTTTCTCCTTTCTTTGCTGTCTCTTTTTCCTGTTCTTCATAAAGCGAAAAATTTTTTTAACAAAAAGAGACATATCGGAGTCCGAAAACTTACCTTCATTTTCGCTTTCGTCTTGTGAAGATTTTTCTGCTTTTAGAGTTATCGTCTTGGTTTGATTATGTTCACTGTTCTTTAACCTTTGTAGCTCCATCTCATGTTCTCGCAACTTTCCAAATAGAGTAGCAATATTCATTTTTGTGAGATCCTTTGATTCTATAATTGCAGTGACCTTTGGTTGCCAATTGCCGTCTAAGGATTTTAAGATCTTTGTGCTCAACTCCTCATTGTCAAAACTTTTTCCTAATGCTTTCAAGTGATTTATTATATGTGTGAAGCGTGTCTGGAAATCCGTGATGCTTTCATTTTGTTGCATTTGAAATAATTCATACTCCTGGATGAGTGTATTCTTACGTGCTCGCTTTACTTCATTTGTTCCTTCATGTGTTACTTCAAGAGTGTCCCATATTTCTTTTGCCGTCTTGCATTGTGAGACCCTGAAAAATTCATTACGAGTTAAGGTAGAAACAATAGCATTTCAGACTCTTACATCATAATGGGCACGCTTATTTTTATCTGGCGTCCATTGGTCAAAAGTCTTTGGAACAACTCCAGATTTCGTTATTCTCATCGGAATGTAGGGAACATTGAATACAGCATCCCAAATACTGTAATCTAGTGTTTGTAAAAATATTTCCATTCTCGCCTTCCAAAACTGATAGTCTTCCCCTTCAAATAGTGGATGTCTGTTTATTGAGGATCCTTCCCTGTAAACCTGATTCTGCATAGACATCTTGACAGATCGTTTAGAAATATCTTATCTAACCAAGCTCTAATACCACTTGTTAGACAAATGGCATCTATAGGGGGTGAATAGATGCACAAATTAAAATAGATGTCAAATTAAAAATTTATTTGTGAGTCAATAATTTGTTTGAACACAGATAAAGTGGAAGTGATAATATAATCAGGAAAAGAGAAAGAGATAAGGGAAAGAGATAAGGGAAAGAGAAGAGCACACAGTGATTTATAATGGTTTGGGTATAGTCGACTCTACATCCAGTTCCCAGTCAACTTTTAACACAAGAATGACTCCCAATTCACTATCTTTCAAATTCAATTTACAAATTACAATCAACTCAGCAGAAGAACCAGTAAAAAGTAAACTAATTAAAAAGACAATCACCTCCTTAGAAACCCACTAAGGATGAACACCTCCCTAGAATCCTACTAGGGATGAACACCTCCTCTGAACAAATCAAAGGATGAAAAACATCTCCTTAGAATCCCACTAAGGATGAACACCTCCCTAGAATCACACTAGGGATGAAAACCTCCTTTGAAAAAAATCAAAGGATGAAAATACCTCCTTAGAATCTCACTAAGGATGAATACCTCCCTAAAATCACACTAGGGATGAAAAACACCTCATTTGCCACCAATACACAAAGGATGAAGGTAATAAAAATAAGAACAGTCACACCTGAGTAATGGAGACAACAAATTGTAGAAGCATGTAGAATGTCAGTCTCTAAGAACAAGTGTGATTAACAATGAGAGCACAGAAGGCAGTAGAGAAGGGTTTTCTCAGAAGGTGTAAAATATCTCTGTTGCCTTGCTCATAATTATTTTTTCAAGATTGATTGAATGTAAATTGTATTTTCGAATTCTGTAATTGTGTTTTTTTTTCATCAAAACTTAATTAAATAGAAAAATGACATCAGAAAATGGCCGTTGGACATTAATATTTTTGTGAATAAAAATCAGGATATATTCAAAACTATTTATTCTTCAAAACATATATATTTTTCAAATTTGAATTTCCATAATTGATTATATTACCAGTATAATCAATTATGACAGAGAAAATCATTTTTCCATTTCTGATGTATCATAATTGATTATGACAGTGAAAAATATCACGTTATGAATTTTATCACACTTGTGTTTTGGAGGCTTATGTGTAATATTACTTCATCAACTTGTACCTCCATATCCAGTATTCTAAGACTCTATCTAGTCTTCAGGAATCATCTTGGGCTTGCTTGAATCATCATCTTTATCAAAAACACATCTTGGGCATGTAGATATTTCACATTTTCACCAACATTTTAAAATTCAGCTTGTTCTTAATTTATCTTAAATGATGTTGACTTGAATGTAGTTGACTTGAATCATCATCAAATAATCTCTTGGGAATGTAGGGACATTTCCATCAATCTCTCCCTCGTTGCTTTCAGATTTAATTCTCGTGTCTTCCTAGTCATCTAACTAAGCTTATTTTATATTCTAAATCATGTATAATACATAATTTTAGAATATATTTGAACTATAATAAATAAATAAAAAAAGGAAGATGTATGTGAGCAAGACAAGAAGATAATGGAAATGAATCATGTGGTGTTAGCGTGGCCAAGACACAACAATAATTAGAAGAGAGACGCACATTGAGGAAAAAGAAAAAGTGGAAAAAAGAAGAAGAGAGAACATGTAATAGATAAGAGAGAAAAATAATAATATTAAATAAGACTAAAGACCGTTCTAAATACAATTATCTTCATGTATAAATAGGATGATGATTTTCTTAGAATCATTGTGATTATGACATACAGTTATAAAAATAATTATCAAATTTATGTTCAAATACATTTGTTTTTAGAATTATTGTGGTAAACAAAAACCAATAAAATAATCATTGTAAAAAAATTAATTTTATTACAAAAGTATTTTTTTTTCATCGACGATGTTCTAATAACTGTCATAAAAAAATGTATTTATGTTGTACCAGTTAACTATACAGACAATGAGAAAGGAAAAGAAATGCATAAACATATATATATATATATATATATATATATATATATATATATATATATATATATATATATATATATATATAGTTTAATGTTTTTGTAGAACTTAACAGAATCAATTAAAATCATAAGAATAGGTTTTCGTAAACTGCTTTGTATCAATTTTTCAAAGAAATTGATATCTTTAAATTCTCCAGTTCTAAATATAACTTTAGGAAAAAAAATTTCATATATGAGATGTACTTATGATTTGCAATTAATTAACTACATATTTCATATTTTAATCGGGTTTAAAATCTTGATTATTTTATGTTAATTTTCAGTTTTTACTTATATTAATTATTTAATAACTTATGCTACTTTCTTCTTTAAGTACATATAAAAAAAGTTTAATTATATCCAATTAAATATCGATCGACTGAATAATGAAATCATCAATTCACAGTTTTACCAATTCAATCACCCATTTAAAATGATTATACATTGTCAAACTAACAAATTAAAATATTAATAAATCAAAGGTTAGTATTAATATAATTTTTAAAGCAATTATTTTTAAAATTAGTTATTGAATAAAATTGTAAAAACAAAAATATTAAGTTTTCTTATATTTTGACACTATGATTTTATACGCGTCTCATGTATATAAAATCTCATCGAACATTATCTGTTTAATTATCTTAACCACAAAAATTGGCAAATAGCACGCACGTTAAACAAATAAATAGTAATGGAACAAATGTTAAGTCAATTGCATGTGTGAAATATGAAGCCAAACTAGATGGGTTATTTCTATCTTGCACGTTATTTTCTTGTTCTTTGATGTTTTACAATGATCTGGCTTTGAACTTATTCACCAAGCTCGGTGAAGCTGTTTGGAGGTGTTCCATTTGTGTAGAACATGGCCGAAGACATCATAGAATACTACGTCAATTTCAGTTTCAGTGATCTGCACAGACATGAATCCTTGACCATCGTAGTAGAACTTCATTTCTTCTGGGTTCCACCAGTTCACCACACCCCTCCACGCCTTAGACCCTCCACCGCTAGTAAAAAATTGTATTGCACTGAAGTTGATCCTCTCCATATTATTATGTAGCTCAAATCAATTTCTACTATACACAGTATGACTAAAAGTTAACAAACCTGTCAACACTGCTTATGTGTTGTAAGCAGTGATCGTGTCCATTTATGAAAAGATCAATGTTGTTTGCCTGAAAACCAGTAGACACATAACAGTTCGTTGAAGCTAGCTAGTAATATAACCTTACGATATTTACTCATAAAACTCATGATGTGAAGAATGTAACAACAGTTGGGATAGAGTAACACATTAACAGTTGCCAAGGAATCTCAGCATGTGAATATCAATGATTCTGTCTGTTTTTAAGTTACACATGCTTTATTAAGTGCACCAATTATGGTGATGTTTTGTTGCTTGCTTTCTTTTTGGGGAGTGTGACAAGGAGAAATATTCAGCAAGTGTGGACAAAGGCTTTTGACTATATTCTTGTTCTGATTGAGTACATGTTATGTAAACCAAAATGACACTATATAGCCCTATAGCACATGTTATGTTACAACACTACTGTGGAGTATGTTGTGGGTGAGTGTTTTGTCATCTAGGGTTGGTGGAAGTTATGCGATTGGTTTGAGTTTGTTAATTTTACAGTACATATCCTTGTTCAATATTTGGATGAGCATCTTGTCTCATGAATGGGTTGCTACTAATATTAGTTACAACTTCTGTTTCAGTTAGTGCACTTTTTAAGTACATAATCATATTTTTTTACTAGAATAAATAGATAAGAGTAAAGTATGCAATGTTAATCATGAATAAAATTCAACAATTAATATTTGAACTAACTCATATTTTGTTCAGTGTACACATAAAAATTAATAATAATTTTATCAACAATAAAAATACTTCTTAAATTATTATATAAAGGGATTTACTCACTTAAAAGCACTGATCAGATGTCCATTTCGATTGTGAAATTCATCTTCTTAAAAGCAAATAACTATAGGAGATTCTGCAGTGCTGCAGAACATATACCTTATATGATTATGGTATTGCTCTCCAATTATATATATATATATATATATATATATATATATATATATATATATATATATATATATATATATATATTACTTTTAATGGATTGAATTTCTTATTTAATATAATTTCACAAATATTCAATTAAGTTTTATTTATTAAATTAATCATTCTTAATTAGTATATTTAATATTATTATATTTGTAGAGAGTTAGTATTATTTCAATTAACTTCAAATAAAAAGGTATATTCAGGTAGCAATATGTTCTACTTTTATCACTTAAGTATTATTTTCATTAAACATTATAAATATTTATCTTCCATGTTTAAACATTATTTTACTCCATTATCCTTTTTACTATATTTTGGTATTCAAACTATTAATAATAAATTAATATACTTAAAATAAACATTCTCAAGAAAAAATATAATAAAAAGCAAAATCAAGTTATAAACATTCAAAAGTAAATCTCAAGATACTATTGCAAGTAAGTGTCAATTATAAATTTTTTTCCAGTACTTGCCATTGATATCATTCATTACATAGTAGAGAAAAAGCTATGTAGAAAATTTAAAGTTGCACACTATGAAATAATTAAAAGTAAATTTTAAAATAATTATTATAAAATGAAATCAACTTATATATATTTTATTTAAAATTTCAAACTATCAAAAGTTACCTGGAGAATTGGGAGAAGCTGCTTTACAAGCTCATCAGTGTTACCATGTTGACCAGCACTTCTAATTGTATGGTGACCCACCACAATTTTCCACCTTGCATTTGACTCTTGTAAAGCCAAATCCACCTCCTATTTAAATCCAGTATACACTAATCAACCAATTAACATGGAAAATGTAACAAGGGATTACAAGGTTGGCTTGGTGATAGAGTTTGAAGAAAATTGAAGAGAAAGTGAGATATGTCTTTTTCTTTTTCCAAATTTCGTTTTCATTTGAGAGATGATCATGTGGCTAAAACCTTGAGGAGGTTGGAAATGTATTGTTTGCGAGGCCGGATTCCACTCCAATCATAAACATGGTCCCCAGGTTCTGTGAAGTATTTGTCCACAAACGGTGTAGTATCTACGAAGAAAAAGTCTGCAACTTCTGAAACAAAGAATGTCACAAAGTACATCAATGTTCCTGTCTGATTCAACTTCACTACTTATTTTAGTTTTCGTTCTTAGACAAATTCAACATGTTTTGCTTCCCATGGTTCATTACATACAGTTAAGATCATTACACCCTTTTTGTGGTGGGTGTAAACTGACAAGAAAGAATATATAAGACAACTGATGGTTAACTTGCTCAAAAACTAAAACTTACAGTTTTATATATAAGTCAAAATAAACAAAACTTTTAGACAAATATAAGGAATAAATGAGTTGTTAAACCAATTGAAGTCAAAGTAAAACGAAAAACAAAGCAATGAGTTTCTTTTCACCTGCATTGAGAATAAAAGATCTCAAGCAAAGCCATCTCTTGTCAAGATTTCTGAGGACAGGACTCAGCTGCGCCTCAACATTACCCCTATAGTCGTGATTGCCCAAAACTACAAGAATCACACATGTTAAATTAAAAACGAAGAGATTAACATATATCTATAGTTATTTCTTGAGAAATAAGAAGTGTTCCTTTGAAACTATTAGTTATAAGAAATTGAAATCTTACGTACCACTGTACCATTGCTTGTTCAAACTAGAAGAAGTGTAAATTTTGGTGAATGAGTCATCAAAGGCTGGATCGTCTATATCTGTCAAACCATTGTCATAAAAATTGTCTCCGGTAGAAATCACAAAATCAATGTTCAATTTCTCTCCAAAAACTCCCATCTACAAAATAACTAAATTCATCATAGTTTCAGCAAGAAAATGACCATTATTTTGCAGTTTTACATACAGATAGACTTTCTGGATTGTTGGTCCCAAAAATTCTTAAAACTGGTGGCTAAGAAAATTGGTCAAATTAGTAAAACAAAAAACATAGAATCTAATAAAATGTGTTGACAAAATAGTTAGTTATACACGAATATAATAGGTATGATGTACAAATTTACTCCATCAATCTATCAGAATTAATCTAATGAAATTATTTAAGATAATAATGTTAAGAATTTAAAAACTTAATTAATATCAAACATAATTATATCAAGTTGTGCTTGGAGTCATTCAATATATATGTCTTTAAAATTTAATAAAATTCTTTTCCTCACAAAATAAATCATATATAACGATAGCAATACTATTACATAAATTTATTTATTATTATTGTATTTTAATTAATGTTTTGAGATTATATATTATAATATTTAGGTGTTTAAATTCACTGTGTTTCGACCGTTTTAAAAAAGTGATGCAAAAGTTGACTTTGAAATTGGATGAGGTTTCTAACAAGTCTTAATAATGAACTAATATCAAAGATTTCTATGAAACGTGAAGTCTAAATTTAAAAATGAGGAAAAATAGACAGTACGAAAGCTAACAATAAAATAATGAAGAGATAATACAGACCCAGATGTTTCGGTCCAAATAAGAACTAAACTACTTGGGGGTGCATCAGGCTGCATGATTGGTCTAACATATTTTATAAATTTTCTTATACAGTTGTAGCAACTTTGTATTGCAAGAAAAAGCACAATGTTCATCGCCTGTTCCTCCTAACTCTTTTGGGATTTTATCTGCTGTATGTATTAGGAAGAAAAAAAGTATTATATATATGGTTTAAAATTATGTCTTTTCAATAAACTTTTACAAGAAATATTACTTTATTATCTTTTATTTAAATTAGGTATTAAGAGATTTTATTATCTTTTAAGAGAGAAGGTAAAAAGACGTTATGTTATTATTTTGATTTAAGTAGTTATGATTGAGATATTATTGATATTTGATATTTTGTAATATTTTTACTCTATATATACATAGAGTACATGAATAGAAATAGACTCACCTGATATATCAGAAATACATATACACAAAACCCTAAAAATTCTCAACAAATTGGTATCTGAGCTTTGGTTCGACATAATGGAAGGAGAAAGAAATTTTTCACAAGTCGTTATTCCAGTTTTTTATGGCAAAAGTTATGACTTATGGGCTGTGAGAATGCAATCCTATCTTGAAGGACTGGATGTATGGGAAATTGTAGAAAAAGATTATATTGTTGATCCACTACCTGAAAATCCCACCATAGCTCAAATGAGATATCACAGAGAAAGAAAAATGAGAAAGACAAAAGCTAAATCATGTTTGTTTGCTGGTGTTTCACAAATGATCATCACTAGAATCATGACATTAAAGTTACCCAAAGAAATTTGGGATTATTTGAAAGATCAGTATGAAGGGGATGAGAAAATTTGAGGTATGAAAGTTCTAAACTTGATAAGGGAATTTGAGATACAAAAGATGCAAGAGTCTCAAACAATTAATGAATACTCAAACAAATTGTTAGGTATTGCTAACAAAATAAAATTGTTAGGCAAGGAATTTTCTGATTCTAGAATAGTTGAAAAAAATTCTGGTAAATGTGCAGAGAGATATGAATCATCTATTGCTTCATTGGAAAACACAAAATATTTGTCTAATATTATTTTGGCAGAAGTGCTACATGCTTTACAAGCACAAGAGCAACGAAGATTGTTGAGAGGAGTTCATACTGCTGGTGAAGGTTCTTTACTATATCATGATAGAGGTTCTCTCCAAACCAAGAACAACAAAGGTATAAAATCACGAATCTTTTCTGTTTGTCCTTATTGCAAGAAAAATAATCACACACCCAACAAGTGTTGGTGGAGACCTGATGTGAAATGTTACAAATGTGGTCAATTGGGACATATAGAAAAGATATGCAAATCACAACCAGAGCAAGTCGTTCAATTTATAGAGGATAGAGTAGAAGAGGTACTTTTCATTGCATCAACATGCTCTACAATCAACAAATCCACAGGTTGGCTTATAAACAATGGTTGTACAAACCACATGACTCATGATCTAAAACTTTTCAAAGAGCTCAACGAATCACATATTTCTAAAATGAGAATTGGTAATGGAGAAGAAATGGATGTGAAAGGTACGAGAACAATTGCAGTTAAAAGTCATTCGGGTATCAGATTGATTTTTGATATTTTATATGTTCCTGATATAAATCATAATTTGTTAAGTGTCTCTCAATTATTAGAGAAAAGTTATAGGGTGTCTTTTGAACACAAACTTTGTGTGATTAAAGATACAAATAACTTCGAAATATTCAAAGTTCACATGAAAGGAAAAAGTTTCATTTTAGATTTGATGAAAGAATAGATGATTACAAATGAAGATATAAAAGAAAAGTTAAAGAAAAAGCATGAAGAAGATTTCTTGAAGGAATTTGATGTTAAGGAGGAAAATAAAGATGTAGATGAAGGAACCGTTTTCAACGTTCATCAAAGAGTCAATAGTATTACCATGAAGTTTGAAAGAAACAGAGGGGATGAAGTTGATAAAGGAAGTATTACCATGAAGTTTGAAAGAAACAGAGGAGATGAAGTTGATAAAGGAAGAAATACTTTGATGAAGAAAGTGAAGTTGAATGAAGATGTGATCTCATACAAGAAAGAAGATGACAAGAAGTATAAACAAAAAAGGAGGAAAAATTATAAACAAAAGAGAAAAATATCAAATTCAAATAAATAGATATTAAAGTAAGAAGGAATGTTGGAAATATTACTTTATTATCTTTTATTTAAATTAGGTATTAAGAGATTTTATTATCTTTTAAGAGAGAAGGTAAAAAGACATTAGGTTGTTATTTTGATTTAAACGAGTTATGATTGAGATATTATTGATATTTGATATTTTGAAATATTTTTACTCTATATATGCGTAGAGTACATGAATAGAAATAGACTCACATGATATATCAGAATACATATACACAAAATCCTAAAAATTCCCAAAATATATTATCTTAAAAAAAAATATATATATATATATATATATATATATATATATATATAATTTACATAAATATTGGTTGGAACCACATATTTTAACCGCATACCAATTTTCCAAAACCTAGATACAGGCTTTAAAATCACTGTAATTAATTAGCAAAATGGCATGAAAATGATTGGTACTAGTACAGTGGATGGGTTATAAACTCCATGTGAGATCTAGGAGATGAAGAAAGTTGTAAAATTGTTGTGATCACTTGATCATATATGCATAGTTTGGGTTGAAATGTGATTAAATTACCTGAAATGAAACTTGAGATTGGTTGTAAGCTCCTTTTCTTCCCCAATCTCCAATGACCAAGAAGCTAAGTGATCCATCTGGTTTGGGTGCTTGTTCAAACCGCTGAAGCAGTGCCGAGGAAACAACCAAACACAGGGCTATGGTGTCAATGAAAACAAGCAGACCCATGTTAGGTCGGAGGATATGGAGAAAAAAAGAGAGTTTTTGGGTGGATTTTGATTCAAGGCTTGCCAACATCGTCTTAAAATAACATGTAATGATGGGAAGCTAGCAAGAGGACATTTTCATTTATTACAATAATTAATAGATTTGTGTTAAAGTAAACAATTTATGTCACGTTAGGGATGACAATTAAGCTCGTACTCGTATGGATCGACCCATCCCCGCTCGAATTTGACGGGGAAAACCCGAGTTGATCGGGGGTGGGGGCGGGGCGGATTCGGGTTTTCCCGCTTTAAAAAGTCGGGGCGGGAGCGGGAGCGGGGATGGGTAATGCAATCCCCACCCCGATCCCGACCTCATCCCCGCCCGACTTTATATTTAAATTTAAATTTTAAAATATTAATATTTTAAAAGTAATTCTTTTTCTTTTTCTATTACATATAAGATCATTTTTTTATATTTCACAAATTTTTATTTTTCTTCTACTCACTTTTTAATTTTTTTGTCTTTTTTAATCTTTTATATCAAATAATTTATTACATTATTAGCTCTCTTACATTTCAGTTTTTCACATTTCTTTAATCTTTCCCATCAATTTTTTTTTAATCTTTTCAACTAATTTGATGAACACAAAGTTAATTTTTTTTATTCTTTATCTTTTTTTAAATATTTTACATAAATCTTAGTAGTAACTAATATTATTTTATTTATAATTTATATTTATTAGGTTTTATTATGTCATATTTTTTTATCTTATTATTCTTATTTATCATATATCAAATTTTATCTTAATAAAATAATTATATTTTAAAGGATTAAAGGAATTGATAATTTAAACTTTTATTACTTTGAACTAATTGAATAAGAATTAACTTAATAAATATTTCCTTATAAACTATATATTTCATATTTTTAAATGACAACTTAAAAATAAATTAATTTATATATATAATCAAATGTTTGAATACAATATTATAACAATAATGTTATAAATATCCAAATATTTCAATACAAGTGTTATAATAATAATAATATTATAAATAAAAAATGATTAAGTACTTTTTTTACATATATATTTTAATATAAATATAGTAAATTAAAATGTATATTTAATTAATAATAATTATAAATTATAAAATTATAAATATTAGTTATATATAAAAAATAGATAGTAAAATTAATTTATTATAAATGTAATTATCTTTTTAAAAATAATATACATCGGGAACGGGACAGGGAACCCGAAACCCAACGAAACGGAGATGAAGACTTAATTTCTAACCCGGTAAGAATCGAAGGCGGGGACGGAGATGGTTAAAAAAATTGGAGGTGGGAATTGGGGAGACAAAACCCGCCGCCCCACCCAGTTGCCATGCCGTGTACAACTGGAGAAGATAAAGCACCCATCTCATAGGGTCCATCATAAGTGACACTGTACCAAACATTTCTTTTGTAAATGTTTTTAATGTACGTGAAGCAAAAAAAAAAAAATTATTGTAGAAATTAAAATAATTATTAACAAAAAAAAATTATTTTCTTAATAAAAAAAGTGGCATTGGTTTTCTCTTGACAGCAGCGATTCCTTCTTGGCCTATGCTATTCGAATTTTGAAGATTCGAACTGGATGTGGACATGTGGGTATATATGAACGGAATGGGAATATGGGAAGTTCGTTTTGTGAAGCATCTCTTCTTATCTGAACAAGGATTTCATGATTTCGTATAAGTTTTGAGTTCATCTTGCCCATCATGACTGTTTGCGTTATGGGCGGAACATATCGTGTTACTTTATGGATTGCAGGCAACTTCTGTTGCTTTAAAATTGTTCCAACTTTGCTTAACGTCAGTTTAAATCAATTTTCAATCTCTTTACTTTAAATCTTTACTATCTGTCTCCTCGTTTGCTCGTAATCCAAGAAAATTATTGCATGAAGAATGTAAAAATGGATTTAGTTTATGAGTAGATAAAAAAATCCAAAGAATAGATTGAATTAAATATCAAATTTGTAATCTAAATTTACTTAAATTAATTTTGACTTGCCTCACTAGTTTTAAGTATTTTATTAATATATATATATATATATATATATATATATATATTATAAATTAATTTAAAAATAAATATATTTATTCTATGAATAAATATAAAAATAAGTCTTTATTAAAAGATAAATGATGATAATAATTAAGAATAAATTTTTAATTTTTATTTTTATAATTTATTTGTTCAATTATTATATTTAAAATAAAAATTATTTTGATAATATTTTAAAAATATATTTTTATTTTATTTATTTTTAAATTAAACTAATTTTTTATATAAATATGTTAATTTTTTTTTATTAATGTTCGTTCAGATTAAGAGTAACCGTTAGTCGCAATTCAATTTCATTGGGCCAGGATTCATCCGAATAAAAAATAATTTTTAGAAATAAATTCATTTGAGACCTGGGTTTTCGCTTTGAATTTCTTAGAGCACGATAAAAATCAATTTATTTATTTAATACTGAAATCATTTTATTATCATTGTGATAGTTGTTGTAGGTATTTCAATTTTGTTATTAAATTTTTATATTGATTAATTTTAAAAAAATTTGACCTTTTCCCAATGAAAAGAGATGTATAATGTATTTAATAAGTTATTTCTTTTAGAAATTTTTTTATTTTTCGTCTTTGTTATTATTTTATTTTTATAATTTTAATTTAAGACTTTGATCCATATTTTGGTATAAAGATATCTTATTAAATATATATATATATATATATATATATATATATATATATATATATAAATGAGTAGATTATAATTAATAAATTAAAAAAAAAAAATTGTTGAGACCGTGATAACCGTTAGTCCCTTTCCTCCCCCTCTTATTATAGTAAAAAACAAAAATCTTAGTTAGATTTTTATTAGGATTGATTTGGAATAAATACATTATTGGTCATATTTCTACTCTCAAATGGTAAAAATAACAAGAAAGCTAGAGTATAGAAAAGAAATAACTAATTTATCCATGAAATACAATGTTACATATGAAACTATTTTTTTTTAATCGATTAACTATTTTTTTTAGTACTACATTCATGTAAATATATATTGGTTTTACTTTTGACAAGGTCTAATACAATAATTGAAGATTTTCTAAAATTATAAGTTGTTTATAATTCAAAATTTGGTTAAGATTTAATTATTACAAATTTATTGTTTGTTACTTCACACAAGTTTAATTATTCAAATGAGTATAAAGGTTTGTCACAAAATCAACGAGATAAATTAGAAAAAAAATCATTTTATCACTTATCTATAAATGAATTTATTTGCTTAAACAGGTGATGAAATAATATGAATAAGATAAATATAAAAACAATAATTAATGAAACCAAAGAAGAAAGTAATGCGAGATTAAGATTAGGAGAGCCAAAATTAAGAGAAAAGAAAAGAACAACTGAAAGATAAAAGATTCATGAAAATGGGTTTTCATGCCACTTGTAGATAGGGTTGTCCAGGATATTAAAAGTTGTCTTTTGATTCTTATAAATTAAGATTTAAGAATAAGAAAACACTAATACAAATGTTTGTCTTAAATTCTCATATATGAGTATGACAAATGATTTTATAAGAAGTGATGACTATTTATAACCTTCGTGAACAAAAATCCAAATGAAAATCAAATGGTAATTCAAATTCAATTGAAACTAAGAAAGGATAATTTAAATTCATAATTCAAATCTAGAGTTTAGTGTCTAATCTAATCTTGGTTACATAGCATTCATAATGATGTGATTAAGTGGTTGTGTGTTCCTAGGCATGGCAACGGGCGGGGCAGGGGTGGGTTTTGCCTCCCGATCCCCGCTCCCGACTTTTTAATCATTCCCGTCCCGCCTCCGATTTCCGCCGGGTTAGAAATTAAGTCCCCATCCCCGTCCCCGTTGAGTTTCGGGTTCCCGCCCCGTCCCGTCTCCGTCTCGTCCCCGATCTATATTATTTTTAAAAAGATAATTACATTTATAATAAATTAATTTTACTATCTATTTTTAATATATAAATAAATATTTATAATTTTATAATTTATAATAATTATTAATTAAATATACATTTTAATTTATTATATTTATATTAAAATATGTATGTAAAAGAAATATTTAATCATTTTTTATTTATAACATTATTATTATTATTATTATAATATCGTATTCAAATATTTGAATACTTATAACATTATTATTATAATACTGTATTCAAACATTTGATTATATATATAAGTTAATTCATTTTTAAGTTGTCATTTAAAAATATGAAATATATAGTTTATAAAGAAATATTTAATAAGTTAATTATTATTCAATTAGTTCAAAGTAATAAAAGTTTAAATTATCAATTCCTTTAATACTTTAAAATACAATTATTTTATTAAGATAAAATTTGATATATGATAAATAAGAATAATAAGATAAAAAAATGACATAATAAAACATAATAAATATAAATTATAAATAAAATAATATTAGTTACTATTAAGATTTATGTAAAATATTTAGAAAAAGATGAAGAATAAAAAAGTTAACTTCGTGTTCATCAAATTGATTGAAAAGATTGAAAAAAAATTTGATGGAAGAGATTAAGGAAATATGAAAAAGCTGAAAGGTAAAAGAGAGAATAATGTAATAAATTAATTGATATAAAAGATTAAAAAAGACAAAAAAATTAAAAAATAGGTAGAAGAAAAATAAAAATTGGTAAAATATAAAAAAATGACCTTATATGTAATAGAAAAAGAAAAGAACATACTTTTAAAATATTAATATTTTAAAATTTAAATTTAAATATAAAGTCGGGGCGGGGACGGGGTCGGGATTGCATTACCCATCCCCGCCCCGCCCCCAACTTTTAAAGCGGGAAAACCCGAACCCGCCCCGCCCCGCCCTGGTCAACTCGGGTTTTCCCCGTCAAACTCGGGTCGGAGGCGGGTCGCTCCTCACAGGAACGGGTTTAATTGTCATCCCTAT